CTTTAAAGGATGGATTATATTCTAGCCTAATTTAGTACTACTGTATATTTAACCATTCTTCAATTATAATTTGATAATTCCAGTTTGAGTGACTAGGTGGATGCTTGGCTAATATTTTAAAATTGGTAAAAGAGGAGAATAAATAGTTGAGGCATTTAGTTGTTATTTGAAGAGCTTCTGCTACATGTTCATTATGTGGTTGAATACTTTTTCTTTTCTTTTTTTATCCTCACCCGAGGACATTTTTCCATTTTTTGTTCAGATAGAGTGGAGGGGGAGAGAGAGAGAGAGAGAGAAACATCGAAGTGAAAGGGACACATCAAGTGATTGCCACCTGTACGACCTATCCAGGGCCAGGGACAAACTGCAATTGAACCCGGGTCTCTCTGAACCGCAGGCTGACGCTCTAACCACTGAGCCAAACCAGCCAGGACCTTTTTCTTTCTTTTTTTAAAATTATCTTTATGTTGATGTATTACAGATGTCCCTCTTTTTTACCCCCTTGACTCCCTCCTACTTGGTCCTGCCCCCTTCCCGCTTTGCCCACACTATTGTCTGTGTCCATTGGTTATGCGTATATGTGTATAAGTTCTTTGGATAAGCTTTTCCTGCCCCATACCCACCTTCCCTTTGAAGTTCATCAGTCTAACAACCAATTTGTACTTCGTAATCCTTTCACCTTCTTTACCCATCTCCCCAACCCACCTCCCATCTGGCAATCAAAAAAAAGTTCTCTGTATTTATGAGTCTCTTTCTGTTGTACTTGGTCATTTTGTTTGTAGATACAATTGTTGGTAGATATGTTTATTGCCATTTTATTGTTCATAGTTCTTTATCTTCTTCTTCAAGAAGACCCGTCAACATTTCATATAATACTGGTTTGGTGGTAATGAAATCCTTTTTCTTGTCTGGGAAACTCTTTATATGGCCATTGATTCTAAATGATAGCTTTGCAGGACAGAATAATCTTGATTATAGGTCCTTGCTTTTCATCACTTTGAATATTTCTTGCCACTTTCTCCTGGCCTACAAAGTTGTTTTCTTTTTGGGGTACATGCCCCTAGTGGGAACTGAACCCAGGACTCTCTGGTCTGCAGGCCTGATGCTCAACCCCTGAGACAGATTGACCAGGGCCTACAAAGTGTTTTTTTTGAGAAATCTGCTGACAGCCTTATGGGAGCTCCGTTGTAGGTAACTGCTTTTCTTTTGCTGCTTTTAAGATTCTCTCTTTGTCTTTAACTTGCATTTTGATGATGATGTGTCTTGGTGTGGGCCTCTTTGGGTTCATCTTGTTTGGGACTCTCTGTGCTTCCTGGACTTGTATGTCTGTTTCCTTTACCAAATTAGGGAAGCTTTCTGTCATTATTTTTTTCAAATAGGTTTTCAATTTCTTGCCCTCTCTCTTCTTTTCTGGCACTCCCATGATGCGAATGTTGGTACGCTTGAAGTGGTCCCACAGCCTCCTTATACTGTCCTCATTTTGGGGGGGGGGATTCTTTTTTCTTTTTGCTGTTCTGATTGGTTGTTTTTTGCTTTCTTATATTCCAAATTGATGGTTTGCTTCTTGGCTTCACCTACTCTACTATTGATTCCCTGTAAATTATTCTTTATTTCAGTTAGTGCATCCTTCATTTCTGACTGGTCCTCTATTATGCTCTTGATGTCCTTACTGAGTTCATTGAGCATCCTTATAAGCAGTGTTTTGAACTATGCATCTGTTAGATCGCTTATCTCCATTTCGTTTAGTTCTTTTCCTGGAGTTTTGTTCTATACTTTCATTTGGGACATGTTTCTTTGTCTCCTCATTTTGGCTGCTTCCCTGTGTTTGTTTCTATGTATTAGGTAGAGTTGCTATGTCTCCTAGGCTTCCTAGGGTGGTCTGTTGTAGTAGGTGCCCTGTAGGTTCCAGTGGCACAGCCTCCCTGATCACCCAGCTGGGCCCTCAGGGTGCACCCCTCATGTGGACTTTGCACCCTTCTGTTGTACTTGAGTCTTGATTGCTGTTGGCATGTCAGTGGAAGGGTTTTACTCAGGCTGATCAGCTGCAAGGACTGGCTGTGCCCCACTAATCACCAACCTCTGCCTGCCTTGGAGGACCAGCTGTGAGGTGCCCACCACACAGAGCGACGCTTACTTCAGCAAGGTTCTGGTACCCCCTGAGTCCATTCCTTGAGTGTGTCACTTGTGGAAGTGTTTGGGTGATGGTGATTTGATGTAGTCTGAAGCTTTCCACTCAGTGTACTGGCTCTGGAGCAAGGTCATCCACTGCCTGTGTTCTGTCCGGGGCCACCAGGCATAAGCTACAAAGCAATCTGCCAATGGTTGCTTCTTGTGCTGGGTTTGGAAGTGCCTAGGTGAAGCCCTGTGAGCCATGGCTGGCTGCTTCTAGTGCTGGGCCTGGGGCCACTTAGGGAGAGGTATGGGGCTTGTTGTGGCCAGATGCTGCTTATTTGAGAGAATTTAGGAAAATCTGAAATAGGAGCCAAAACAGGCCAATCCTGTGGTAAAGCCACTGGGAACAGCTTGGGTGGGCCTGAAAGTTGGATGGGGCAGGGCCTCAGGGAATCACCAGGGTGGGGCAACCAGTGTGAGCCAGGTTGCGGAGTCCCAGGTATGGCCGCCCTATGCCTGTCCTATGGGGGAAGGGCTCACAAAAAGAACAACAGCCTCCACCAGCACATCTGTCCGAAAGAAAGCTGCCTCTCCAGCTCTCACCCCAGTGCCGAACAACTCAGTTCTTCCCCTTATGTCTCTGGTGCCTTTCAAGCTGCCTCCCCTCTTTGCTAGAGCTGAGAGGGAGCGGATCCAAGTAAGTCTGTGCGCAGGCCCTTTAAGAGGAGATGCATGGAACTCAAGCATCCTCAGCCTCCCTTGGCCTCAGTTCCTACTGGTTTTTACAGCCAGAAATTATGGGGACTTTTCTTCCTGACACTTGAACCCTGAGCTGGGAGCCTCGTATGGGACGAGGACCCCTCACTCTTCAGGGAGGACCTTTACAGCAGATGTGTCCCTCCTGATTTTTATCTGCCACGTGTGGGCGTGGATGTAGGACCAGTCCGTCCGCAACTCCGCTCCTCCTACCAGTCTTGATGTGGCTTCTTCTTCAGTGTTGTAGTTGTAGGGCTTAACATTCAGCTAATTAGCATTCAGTTAATTAGTTCTGAAAGATGTTTGTTCTATAGTTTAGTTGCAATTTTGATATGGTTGTGGTGTTTGAATACTTTTTCAAATACTAAGTTTGAAAAAGAATTCTGTTCTTCCTCATTCGGTAGTGATCAGTATAGAGATCTAGGTGGTTGAAGTCTTGACCATAGATTCAACTACTGAGGAGTAAAAGGTCTGAGCCAGTGGGAGAGCACATCCACAGCACGAGGCCAATGTAGATCAAAATGGCTTTATTGCTTGTGTCCGGGTGTAGGTGGGCTGAGCTGAAAAGAATTCAGCCTCGAATAACAGTATGGGTGTAGATTATATATTCTACTTTTAGCTTCCAGCAGTTCCTGCTCACATATTCTGCATAGCCCATTGTCCACTTTGCAGTTGGACTGGTCTGGTATCTGGCCCTGCATCTGCTGGGAGATCCATTGCTTTGTGGATAATCCAGATAATCCTTATCTGTACTCAACAGAAGGCTGAGTAAAGGTCATGCAAGCAACACATTTCTCAAAGTTTCCCCTTTTGCAAGGTTTTACCTTAACCCTTTAAAATGTTACTAACCCTTTCAAGGAGGAGCGCAGGAGGCACACTGCTTCACCTTGTTACAAGTTTATTGATAAAACATGTCAGCTCACTGTGTTTAATTAGGCTATTCTTGAAGCATTTATTTCTTCCTTGCTGTGTTAAGATGGGCAAGTTTGTGTAACTTAAAATATGTTGTGTTCTAAGATAGTCTTCTATGCCTTAATGACTATAATTATTAAATCAAAGCTTTCATATAAAACTGATTAAACTATCACTTGAATAATACTTACCATCTGTATTATGTATGGTACAGTACTGTAAAAAAATTTTCTCTCGTGGTGTTTATCTCTACTTTGTCTCAAAGACTCTAGTGGCTCTATGAAAATGAATACCTTTTCCTGCTGACTTTGTAGCATCAAGATTTGTTATTGTTTTGTGAATAAAATGATGCACCGTTAGTCAACATAAAACTGTTAATAACATCGAAAGTTCCTAATGAAAAACAAGGAACAAATGAGTTATATTTATTTATTCTGATTCCTGCTGATACTGTTTTTCTCCGGTGATTTAGAATATATATGGGTGGGGCAAAAGTAGATTTACAGTTGTGTTCATATTGAAAATAATACAATAATTAATAAATAATAAACTCTGGCCCTGGCTGGTTTGGCTTCAGCAGTAGAGTGTCAGCCCATGGACCAATGAGTCCCAGGTTTGATTCCAGCCAAGGGCATGTACTTCAGTTGCGGTTTATCTCTGGACCTGGGCGGGGTTGTGTGGGAGACAGCCAGGTGATGTGTCCCTCTCACCTCGATGTTGTTCTCTCTCTCCCTGTCTCTCCATCTCTCTCTATCTAAAAATAAATGGAAAAATATCCTCGGGTGAGGATTAAAATAACAACAACAATAATGATAATACTAAACAACTCTGTGTTTCATGTGCTCACAACTGTAAACCTACTTTTGCCCTACCCTGTATAAACAGACTCCCCCCCCCCCCCCACACACACACACACAAATCCCATACTCTAGGAGTCTACATGTCTTTAGTCCTTTCACTGTATTTCCCCCTGTCTTTTTGAGAATCTGGTTTGGATTTGTTTCAATATTGAAATAATTGCTATATAAAAATATTAACTGCGGTTCCCAGGAATCATTTGGAGGGTTACAGATGCACTATTATCCTGGATCTTGTCATGGATATTTGGTAGAGATACTGTGCCTGTTATGATTAAGAACTGCTCATTAGCAATCTTTAAAAATATCTGTGAGAAAGAAGCATTGGAATATAATGTGCTTTGCAATTTGTTTCCCTATTAGAAAGCAGAAGAGGAGGATGTTGTTCTCACACCTGATGGCACCAGGGAATTTTTGACATTTGAAGTTCCACTTAATGATTCAGGATCAGCAGGTCTTGGTGTCAGTGTCAAAGGTAACCGGTCAAAAGAGAACCATGCGGATTTGGGAATCTTTGTCAAGTCCATTATTAATGGAGGAGCAGCATCTAAAGTAAGCAAATGTCAACTTTATCAAACTTATGTCCATTAACAAAAAATGTTTAATTACAGCTATGTTTAATTATAACTATTTTGGAAATGTATACACATTAGGGGAGAATAGACTTTCTACACCCTTATAGATTCTGTTTCTGAAGTCTGTGAATTAAACTGACAAAAGACAGATTAACAGGAGAAAAGCATTACACATTTTATTGAAACTAATATTTTAAAATTTATGTATATTGGAGCTCCGTGGAAAATAAGTGAAATTTGAAGAAGCAGTGAGACTTGGAAGATTATATACCACTTAAGCCAAGAGCGATACATTATGTAGAACTGTTTTAAAAAAGGAAAAAGTGTTTGGTCTTCTAGGGACTGTAAATTTTGGGGAGGTAAATATATGAGGGAAACTAATGATAGCTAAGGTTTATTTTGTATAGTTTGTTTATACAGACTAATCTCAGTGCCATCTTTCTCTCTCTGGTGTTGAACACTGTCCTCCCTTCCCTGGTTTGGAGAAGTGAGGGAACATTTTCGCTAAAGGAAATTTATGCCCTGTGTTCAGGCGAAAAGAGGAGAGCAGTGAACACTGCTGTGCCTGCCCTTTCTCAGTTGCCTTCAGCACAATGTCATTCTTTGCCAAAGTGGTATGTTTTGGGTCGGCATAATCTTATATCCTATGACACCTAACAAATGTTTTCTGGTTTTTTGTTTGTTTTTTCGTAATATCCCATCCGTGATCAAAGAACTGGAATAAATCTCAGTGATCTCTTATTTTGGGAGATAATCTATGCAAAGACTTAGTTTAGGTTCTGGGTTAGAGCTGCCACTCAATAAAGGGTTAACGTTTTCTTGTCCCCTTCCCAGTCTATGGATCATTTATCCTATTTCCCAGTCTAGAGAAAATTTCCTAGCTGTTAAAGAGGCATTTCATTTCTCTCTCTACATTAGTCGAATAGCCTTGAGTTTTTACATGTTTTGGGTTGTAAATAAGCTCTGTGGGTGTCTCTGGAAGCAAAGTGAACACTTTGTGTCCTTTGAATTAGTATGCCATTTTGGTAAGCAGATTATGATAATGATTTACAAATGTATAAATGGTTGAAATGGACAAAGGCTACAGTGACTGCTTTGATATTATTATGTTAGTATTTAATTGGGCAAACCCATTAGGATTAAAGTCCCTTCTTTTTGTTTTGTTTTTAGTTCTTTAACTAAAAGGAAAGCAACTTCTTTTATAACAGACTATTTAGTAGCACTTACTTTTACCTGTTTGCTTCTCAGGATGGAAGGCTTCGGGTGAATGATCAGCTGATAGCAGTGAATGGGGAATCCCTATTGGGCAAGACAAATCAAGATGCTATGGAAACCCTCAGAAGGTCCATGTCCACTGAAGGGAACAAGCGAGGAATGATCCAGCTTATTGTTGCTAGGCGAATAAGCAAGTGCAATGAGGTAAAGAATAAAAAAATTTTAAGACAAAAGGCACTAGCATTTGACTTTGTAATAAGACTGAGTTTCAGTCCTAATGTAGTACTGAGAATGGCAAGTCCTGGGACTTTACCATGAAACACTATAAACTGTCTTTGCTTGCTATAGTGTTATTGTATTGTCAGTGAGTTGTGATATGTTTTCTTAGTTCTGTGGCCAAAATACTCCTACTTGTGCATTAGTATGTCTATTGCCAACTCAGCAGATAAGATAGGGATCTTAAAGGCACCTTTACCCAAGATCACATCTTCCTGCTCAGAGCCAAGAATTCCCTTCTATTCAGCAGTGTTTTCTCTGGTAAGGAGAAACAATGAAACTTGTTGTTCATTTGTTTATTCAAAAATGGATGCCTCCTACAAAGTCCCTAAGGGAAGTTTCTTTATCCTTTGGCATTGTCAAAAGTGTGAGCCCTTACTTACTCCTATCTGCTACCTTCACTATAAAGTTGACTGTTTTCCCCTTGAGTACCTGCTTTTTCAGTCATATTTATTATGTAATACCAAGGTTGGTTCAAAATATTTGCTGCACTATGTAATTAGGAGTGAGTAGGAATGATATGATCATGTTTCCCCAAATAAGTAAAAAATACATTCTTCTTTATCAGGGCATTTGAAAATTAAAGGTAAAAAGAAATTATATATATAATCAAAAATTAATTTTGGAATCTTAAAATACAAATTTCATAGATCAATGTTATAAATTATGTGCTATCTATAGAAAATAGTTGGAACCCGACAGTTTATGAATAAAACTTACTGAAAATGTAATTTGTTCTTGTATTTGTTGATGCTCAAATTTCCACAGTTTTAAATCAACTAAGAAAAATTTACTAGCAAATCATACAAACTGAAAACACTATCTAAATTGTTTTTGTGTTTCTTTACATAAAGCAAGCTTTTCAGGTTGTGATGATCACTCATCCAATCCTATAATACAATAATATTTTGCAAAAAAAAAAATGGTACTCTTGAGCTCAGTGGGTAGTCTGTGTAGAGGTGACCAATTTTTGAAAGGTTATTGACCACTGACTTGCTTTTGTATTATTTTTCATTTTCAAATGGAGAATAAGTTAATAGTAATTAAAGTAATTTTCATACCAATAAGAGTGAACAATGTAACTGTAACTAAAAATCTCAGGATAAAAAACAGTGTGGCCCTGGTCAGTTTGGCTCAGTGGTTGAGCATCGGCCTGCGGACCAGAGAGTCCCAGGTTTGGTTCCCGCTAGGGGCACGTACCACCAAACAAAAACAAAAACCAAAAAAAAAAAAAACCAGTGTGATATAGAAACATTTACTTTTATAATAAATATAAATACTAATTCCTCATACTAGGCTACTGAATTAGTTTACTTGAATAATAGTTTTTATTGGTTGTCAAATCATTAACTGGTCTTTGTAATGAAAGCCCTTTAAAGTGCTACCTGAAAAATTCTCAACAGTAACTTTGTAAGATACATCGGTCTTTATTAGTTTTTATTCTGACATTGAATAATTTCACATTCCTCAAACAGTACATGTTTATTGAATATCCACTGTATTCAGAAAATGCATTAAATCATGAGGATATGAGGTGAATAAAACAGATGTGGGCCTTTTCGCATAGAACTTATACTGTACAACTATCATGCTATTAGACTCTTTAAAAGAAACTTAAATTAGTAACACCTTTCAGAGTTCTCCATCAGAGAAAAACATTGTGTGTTATAGGGAGACTTAAAACGTAAGAAATGTACTAAGGTCAGTGTTCTGAGTTCAGATCTACTTTCATCTGATTCAGATGATGCCTATTGTTCTCCAAATAGTAGCAAAGCAAACCTGTACCAGCTTGAAGATGTTTTAAGAAGAACACTGAGCCCTGGCCGGTTTGGCTCAGCGGTTAGAGCGTCGGCCTGCGGTCTGGAGAGACCCGGGTTCGGTTCCCGCTAAGGGCACGTACCTCGGTTGCAGTTTGTCCCCGGCCCTGGTTGGTCGTGTGGGTGGCAGCCACTCGATGTGTTCCTTTCGCATCGATGTTTCTCTCTCTCTCTGTTCCTCTCTCTCCCTCCCACTCTACCTGAACAAAAAATGGAAAAATGTCCTCGGGTGAGGATAAAAAAGAAAAAGAAAAAAAAAAAGAAGAACACTGATTTTATTCCCTGTTGCCCTGTGAAAGACATGAAATTGGAATCCCACTGAAATATCTGTGTCTCATTCAATTCTGCATATGAATTTATGTGAATGAAATTATTTAAGTCAGGGAACAGCTGCAGTCAGTAGACAGTAGTATACTTTAATATTCAATATTCCTTATGATATCATTTTCATACCTTGCTTATTATTACTACCTCCTAGGAGAGTAAGCTGTAAAACAATTATATCAAAGAAAATCTTATCACGAGTGCTATGCTTATTTTACAATACTAGTGAAAAGCCTTTTATACTGACAGGGTTTAACTAAAGAATTATATGAAGGCAGAAGAGCTCCATTCAGCTTCCCATAAGGCTTAAGATATGATTTTGCTGCTGTTGTACTTATGTCACCTTTGGAAAAACATTTCCTTAAATTAATGGGAGGATATGTGTAACTTATACCATAGTAAATATTGATATGAGCACAGGGCGTCTTGTCATGAATAAACCTCAAGCTAAACACAGTGCTTAGTTCTCTCCTTCTGGATCTATTAGTAAACCATATAGTCCAGTTTTTGAAATATTACAAAACTGTACTTTACAAATTCATCTTTAAATAAGAGTTTGCATACTTAATTTCAAGCTAGAGAAGATGAGAATTTGCAAAAGAAAATCTTTTGTACTTTGTAACAACTTCCCTTGCCCTTATATGTAGGAAATACTTGTACATATATTATTTTTGTATTTTTTAAAACGAACTATTTGTCATATCTCTATACTAGGTATCAACTTACCTTGTATTTCACTAGTATTAATCCCTCTACAGCATATTCGAGATTTTTCTCTGGAAGACGTTTCTCAGTCTGTTTCGCTTGATATTCCAGAAATCTTTGAACACCACCTCATTCTTTAATCATTTGTTACCCACTCTCTCTATTTTTCTCTTACTTTACTCTGGTTCTTCTCTGTCTCCTCTTTTCTGCCTGTTCTTTTATTATTAGCATTCCTCAAGGCATTTTCCGGTCTGTTTCTTTCTTCCTGTGCACTGCTCCCCAGGTGATTTCCATTTCCTGGTCTCAAGGTACCACCTATATTATGAGTATTCCATAACTCTCTTTCTGGCTCAGAACTGTTCTAGTTCCAACTGACCATTGAAATGGTATTCACTGGTATGTCTCTCAGGTACCTACTTCCAGGGTGTGCCAAACTTTATTTATGACTTTTCCTCAAAGGCAAGTTCCTCCTTAGAGTACTTCATTCAACCTAGTCACCACAATCCAGCCCCATAAATGATACCACTATTCTTCATTTGTTGAAGCCAGAGATCTGGGATTACTCTTGATCTCTCAAAAACTTTTAGTATCTTTATAACCTCTGCCTGCGGCATCTCTTTCTTCTCATCCACTTTTCTTCATTCCCACTGACCTTGCCCACATTCTTGCCCATTGTCTCACTGAGCCCACTGCTTTTGCTCTGGAGGATTTCTCTGCAGGCAGGAGTTCTCTCTCATTCTGTTCTCTAAACTGCGATCAGGTGGATTTTTCTAAAAAAACAAAGTGATCATGTCATTCTGGCTGAAAACCCTTCGAGGGCTTTCTGGCCTCTCTAGGACTGGTGCATTCCCCATCCCAGTGCCCACTAGGCCGTGTGAAACCTGGCATCTGTGCCCCTTCCAGCCTGCCCCTGTGTAGCCACTGCTCCAGCTACCCAGCATTCCTTGTCGTTCTCAGACGTGCCATGTTCTATCTTGCCTCCATGTTTTCCCCATGAGTTTGTTTTGCTCTTTATCCTAGCAAAAACAGCCTTAAGATTTTAGTTTTCACTCTCCAAAGTATTTCCCTAGTCCTTTGTACTTACCTTCACCCAGCACTGTCATTTCTATTTTGGTTTTCTTTTGCGGGAACTATACATTCTGAGCTGGCTGGGACCTCGTCCCGCTGGTGTGTTCCTGTTTCTCTGTCTCTGGTGTCCAACCCAGGACTGACACATAAGCATGGACTAAATGATGAAGGAATAATCCTAGAGAATCTGGCAGTTTTCAAAGGAAAAGATAACTTAACCTGAAGTTCTAAGAAAACCATCAGTCAATCACAAAATTAATATTTTAACAGTGATTCTTGATTTCCTTTGCTCCTTAGATCTAATGTTCTTACTTAAATTTCAAACATTTCCTCAGCAATAATTGTTTCTTTAAAAGAGAGAGAGAGAGAAATGGCTTCCCCTTGTTTTGTGCCCCTGAAGAATGGATTAACTTTTTGGAGAAAGATTTCTTAAGCCCTGGCATTCTTTTCCATTGAAAAGAATGCATAAAGCAGGCTTCCTGTCAAGGTGGTGAGTAGGAAAATGCTGTGCTTGTCTCCTCCCATGACCACATCAAAATTCCCCCTAAATTACAGAGCAATCGTCACTGAGAACCACCTGAAATCTAGCTGAACAAAAGCCCTGTACCTGAGGATATAAAGAAGAAGTCACATGGAAACTGATAGGAGGGACAGAGACTCCTAACAGGCTGGTCCCACACTTTGTGTGATGGTTAAAAATCTGGAGGAATATTTTGACTGCAGATGTTCCCCCTGAGGAGTGAGGGGTTCCAGCTCCACACCAGGACCCCCAGTCCAGGGTCCCATTGCCAGAAAGAGAAGTCCCAATAACTTCTGGCTGTAAAAACCAGGAAAGATTGTGGCAGAGTGAGATGGAGGATTTCTGGAGTCCTCTGAAAGAGCCTGCACATGAATTTACTTGGTCTCACTCTTTCTAAGCTCCCTCACTGGTTTGGCAGCTCGAATGTCTCTGGGGACATATGAGGAGAAACTGAATTGTTTGGCTTTGGAGCAAGGGTTGGAGGAGCAGCCTTT